GTGTGAGTTTCCATGCTATCCATGGTGATTAAAAAGAAGAGATTGGATTTATACCCTGCCCTTCACTCGGGGTCTCAGAGTGGCTTACAAACTCCTTTCCCTTCCCCTCCCCACAACAGACACCCTGTGAGGTAGGTGGGGCTGAGAGAACTCTGACAGAAACTGCTCTTTTTCAAGGACAGCTCTTGTCAGAACTATGGCTTGCCCAAGGTCACCCAGCAGGTGCAAGTGGAGGAGTGGGGAATCAAACCTGGTTCTCCCAGATTAGAGTCTGCACTCCTAACCACTACACCAGACTGGCTCTCCACATGCAGAGGCACTATTCCTCTGAATCCCAGAGCCAGGAGGCAACATCAGGGGAAGGCCTCGGTCTCTATGCCCTGTTGTTGACCCTCCACAGGAACTGGCTGGCCACTGCGTGAGACAGGATGCTGGACTAGATGGGCCACTGGTCTCATACAGCAGGGCTCTTCTGATGTTCTTAGTCATTTATTTATTTATTTAATTCATTTATACCCTGCCTTTCTCCCGTAATGGGGACACCAAGTGGCTTCCATCATTCTCCTCTCCTTCGTTTTATTTTCACAACAACCCTGAGAGGTAGGTTAAGGCGGAGAGAGTGTGACTGGCCCGAGGTCACCCAGTGAGCTTCCATGGCAGGAGTGGAGATTCGAACCTGGGTCTTCCAGATTACTAGTCTGACACTCTTCACCACCACACCACACTGGCTGGATGAGAGGCTCAGTAACGAAAAGCAGTGGATAAGAGGGTTGGACTTGGAGGCGAGAGTCTTTACTATCATCATGTTGGGGAACAGCTATGAATGGTTCACCTTGTTTCCCCCCACAAATGCTTGGACATTCATCCTATGCAGTCGCCTGTCCATGATATGCCTGTCGCCCGTCCACCCAGCGGCTCAAAAGCCCGTTAAAGGGCAAGTAGACAAAATGGGTACCTGCTCTTAGAGCGGGGGGGGGGCACCCGTCCTTCGTGGTGGCAGAGCAGCGGAGTAGTGGCGGCGAAGAACATGGCGATGGCGAATTGAGCGAGGCTGGGCTGATGGAGCGCGGAGGCGGGGCGACGCAACAGGCTGGAGCCTATCGGACAGAGGCCGCAGCAGGAGTACACGCTGATGCGCCTTCGCCCAAGCCCGTGGAATCGGAGCAACTAAAGAGAAGACCCGCGCCAGAAGACCTGCGCCAGGAAGTTGCCGCCGGCGGATTGAAATACCTCCCGCAGAAAGATTAAGAACAACAAAGACTTCGTCAGAGGGTGTCTGTTAGGCCAGTCACACACACACACCCTTCATTGTATGTGTAGCCCTAGGCAGGATGTGTTGTATAATTTGTTTATTTATTTTATTTATTTATTTAGGTATTTTTACCCCGCCCTCCCCACAAGCGGGCTCAGGGCGGCTTACAGAGGGCATCAGCCCATACATAAAATCCATAAAACAATAAAAACATAGCAGCAATTATATATAACAATAAATAAATAAGTGCTTCATAGCAAGATGGTCTTTGGTGATGGCGGCATCTCTGGTCTTCAAGGCTATTGTAAGCCACTTTGAGACTCCTTAAGGTAGAGAAAATTGGGGTATAAAAACCTACTCTTCTTCTCTTCTTCTTCCTCCCCATGAAGCCTGCTGGGTGACCTTGGGCCAGTCACAGTTCTCTCAGAACCCTGTCAGCCCCACCTATTCCACAAGGTGCCTGTTATGGGGAGAAGAAGGGAAAGCGATTGTGAGCCGCTTTGAGATGCCTTAGGGTAGAGGAAAGTGGGTTATAAAAACCTGCTCTTCTCTTCTTCTTCCACGTGAAGCCTGCTAGGTGACCCAGGGCAATCACAGTTCTCTCAGCACTCTTTCAGCCCCACCTACCTCACAGGGTGCCTGTTGTGTGGGGAAGAAGGGAAGGCGATTGTAAGCCACTTTGAGACATGTTAAGCTAAAGAAAAGTGGGGTATAAAGACCAACTCTTTTTCTACTCTTCTTTCTCAGTGGATGCAGGTAGCAAGCTATGCCAAAATGTGGAGATAGTTTCTATAAATGTTTGGGAGCCACGTTATCGCTACATTTTTTTGCCTTTAGCAGAGGCCGTCTGCCTGGGAGATGTGATTGCGGACGTGACCCGTAATTAGTACAGGATTAAGTGATTTCGTAATCAGCTGCAGATCCAAGCATCTCCTTGTTCTTCTCACTGTGGTTTTTTTCCTTCTTCCTCTGGACAGGAGCACGTGAAGTGGGTCCACGCTGAAATGTTGGCTGGCAATTCCCAGCTCAAACTGGTTTACGTGACTCCAGAGAAGATTGCCAAAAGCAAGATGTTTATGTCCAAGTTGGAGAAAGCTTACCAAGCGGGAAGGCTCACGCGCATTGCGGTGGATGAGGTCCATTGCTGTAGCCAGTGGGGACACGACTTCAGGCCT